TCTGTAGTTGAATGAAACCTGCCTCGATTTACAATAGTTCCCCTTCCAATGGGACTTCATTTCGAATTTGTTTCACCGGCATTTAGGTGATTGAATAGTAAAAACTGCGAATAGCTGTTGTGTAGTAAAATATTAGGGCCCATTTCAACCTGGTCGTATAACTTCGCACGGCCCATGGAAACTGCGTCATACAAAGTATTTTTTTAAAGGTTTGAGGGAAAGTAAATTTAGACTCAACCCACCCAATGGCGATCGCTATGTTTATATAACTGTATGAATATCTCATCAGCTTTACGTAATCCATTGTGTCCCTCCCTCAGTGGAATTGATAACACTACGCCATGACAGTTTTCACGCAATGTTGAAACTTGGCCAACGATTTTTCGTCAGTTTCCCTCGAATTGTAAATATTTTGATTTTATTTGTTTACCCCGACGATTTGACATCAGCAAACTACGGTGTATGAGGTATTTCTATGAGTTTATGTTACACATATGAAGCGAATGATTAGTTTTACAACTTTTTTTACAAAATGGCGATTATCTCAGTTTTATTTTTTACTCAAAATTTCAACTTTAAAACTATTATATTTCTAGACGGTTCAATTGTTTTCAATGAAATTGTCAGGGGTCATTATTCAGGTCTATCCTAAGAAAATGGCTTTGTATGGTTTCACTGTCTTTGCGGAAACAGAAACAATAGAGTGGCCAAATAGCGGCTCTGTTAACTGAACGATTTATAAAATGTGAATGTTTCAAAGAGCACTGTGTAAAAACTTTTCAAGGGAAACACTAATAAATAAGCCATTATGTTCCTAGTAAACAGAAATTTTAAATAAGTGTTTTTAAATCAAAATCAGGGTATGCATTCAAAAGTTAAATAGTTTTAAGTGCACTTTCACCTAAAATGCATGATTTTAACCCAAAATCAACACCACTTAATATGGTATCATAGTACATTATTGTAAACCATAAAACTCAAAAGTTTAAATTAAACTCTTTCAAATGATATATAACTTGATGTGTAAAAAGTATATTTTACTCATGTAATTACAGTAATCAGAGTCAATTAGAAATATAGTCCCCAACCTGCATCTCTAACTTAATTATTTGGCTGTCACAGTACTAAACATGACACATTAATAACGGTTGTAGTGCTGTATTTGATACATTGTTGTACATGTACTTTGTGAAGCTGGCACATCTATCGTTTGGCAGCTTTTTTCTTCATCATTTGAAGTCTTTTCATAGCATTGGCAGTACTTGTGGCACTAGATACTCCTCTTGATGATGCGGAAGAAGTTGACGAAGATGATGATGCTGATGATGATGGATTAGTCTTTGATTGTTGTGATTTGCTCACCGAGCTTGATGGATAGCCAGAACTTAAAGATTTACTGGACTGCATAAATGATGCACTGGATTTAGTCATTTGACTTGCCAGGTTTTTACTTGATACAATGTTGGACGTGGTCTTAAAGGAACTAGTGGTGGTTTTCCCTGAAGAATTACTGGAGGTGCTAGTCTTGGTTGTTGCTGATTTGCCACTGAGATTTGCTGCTAAACTTGCTAACCCAACAAGTGGTTGGTGTGAGGCTGCTAGACTGGCTGAAGCAGAAGACTGAAAATAAATTTAATAAAACATTTTTTTGATTTCACTATGAGAACAATCAAAGGGCTTTATTGTGGTCTTGTGATTATGATATGTCACATTTGATAGTTTGAATATGTGAAATCTCAAAGAGATATAAATATTAAACATTGAAATTTAAAGAAAGTCCAAATGCTAAAGATTGCTAAAGCAGGGGAGTCGTCACATGTGCTTGTTGTAGCAAACGACCATAATTACTGGTATGACAGAAATAATCACAGTGAGTGACAGAGGACAGTGACAACCACTGTAATAATAATAACTGCAATGACAGTAACAATTGCAATGACAGTAATAACAGCAGTGACAGTAATAAACACAGTGACAGTAATGACTGCAGTGACAGTAATGGCCGCAGTGACAGTGATGGTCGCAGTGACAGTAATAACAGCAGTGACAGTAATAACAGCAGTAACAGTAATAACAGCAGTGACAGTAATAACAGCAGTGACAGTAATAACCACAGTGAGAGTAATGACTGCAGTGACAGTAATGGCCGCAGTGACAGTAATGGCCGCAGTGACAGTGATGACCGCAGTAACAGTGATGACCGCAATGACAGTAATGGCCGCAGTGACAGTAATGGTCCAGTGACAGTAATGACCGCAGTGACAGTAATGGCCGCAGTGACAGTAATGACCGCAGTGACAGTAATGGCCGCAGTGACAGTGATGACCGCAGTGACAGTAATAACTGATATTATTACTGATACCTCACCAAACAAGACTAATACTCACCTTTGTAGAAACAATATTTGCTTCACTTCTTTTAAAAGGTACTAATGTTGAAGGTTCTTTCTTCCTTTCTTCATCTGTTCTCTTCCCAGAATCCTTGCTGGATGATGACGGTTGAGCAGCCTTTGTTTTCTGCTTTGACGCCTAAATAAATTGAGATGCTATTAATATGAACAATACCAATAATAATTGGTAACATTAAATTTTTTTTTTTTTAATTTAGTCCTATAATTTAAGTAACACTCATCACAACAGATAGTGGAATAAACGGTAAATCATGGTGAGGTGAAAAAGCATGGACTAATCACACATTGTCATGCCCTGATTGACAGATGTTGTGCTTTGCAGAATCATGGGAGGTGTTCGTAAACATGCATGGCTTTGTTGAATCCTTTGTATTGTGTACTATTGAAATCTTTTTAGTCTAGACTACACTGGAAATCAGTTTATTTCAACTGAATTTGCAATCTATCATAAATTAATATCCATATCATAGGCAAGATATGGTAATTGATTGTTGAAAGATGACTATGCTGGAAAAATTTTATCAACTATTTTAGAATCATTGAACATCATCTAGGAAAATTCCCTCTAAACAGAATATGATAAAATATCAATACAGTACAACAAAGATCAGAATAGCATGTCTGTTGCATGCATACTGTTATACTCAAAGTCTGGAAACACATGTACCGGTAATATACAAGTTATCAATAATGTCCTTGTGTTTTGCTAATTACCAAGTCTCACTTTGGTTAGCAGTAATTTCTAATTCATAGAAAATATGATGCAAAGCATTAACCATAGTTGACACAGATGCAGAACTCACAGGAAAAAGTCATGCAGCACACTAAGCACTCTTGCATGAAGAGCTTTCCTACAATCAGCCTGTACATGTACAAGGAACTATCACAATCTACTATAGCTATGGTACATGATATACAAATGCACTGCTTACCATTTTCTTAATATTTCTACTACATCGAGTACAGTACCACACCACTCTTGGATCATTTACATCGGCATCTGTTGCTGCAGGTTTGTGGCATTTCTGACATGAAATAAAGGTAGTTGTGAGAATATCTATATTTATCTATACATATCTATACATGTACATGTATGTATGACTACTCATCTGAATGAACTTAAAGGAAACATCAAGCCAAACAACATAATTCCCTCTCAAGAAAAAGCTCCACAAGTGTAGGGAAATGCAATTTATAGTTTTTTTATATCACTTTTCATTCTCTAGATATTCAACTTCTCATCAGTATTATGCAGTAAGCCATCTTGATTCTCAAGCAAAGGATTATAGGTAAAATATGACATCATAGAATCTGTTGTCAGAAATTGAGAAAATGATTTCATCTATAACATGTGAAATACTGGTGCAAATAAGTTCAAATTTGCATTGTGCATATTACTCATGTATATAAATATAGTAATGGAAATTAAAATGTTACAAATACACATAAAGTGATAATACATGTATTGCCAAGAACTTTGTAAAAATTGGTATTTTGGTTGTGAAATTTAGATTATGACACTTTTGTGTTCCCTTTTAGTGGTCAACAGGTAATATACCTATATAACCTGTTCACATCGGTAAATTGTATACAATGGAAGGACATTTTAACTTTAATATTTTCAGTTCTGTTTCCATGACAACAATTTTAGAAGCAAGTTTGGCACCACTACATATATGCTACCATGTTCTAAACTTTTAGCCAATTTAAAGTTCAACTTTTTAAGTTATCTCAATTTCTGTCAACAGATTCTATGATACATGTATCATGCTTTACCCATAATCCTTTGCCGAAGAATAAACTACTGTAAAAGGATTAATTATTCACTGGATTTTAATTTTGCTTATTTCGCTGACTGGAAAATGATAAAACCGTGAATTTAAAACCTATTGAATATGCCTGAAATCAACAAATTTTAAACCCAGTGAATATTAAAATGATTACAGTATGTATAAAATAATGATTTACAAACAAGCTAAGGTATAAAAGTAGTAGTTAAAGTCAAATTACGTCAATAATTACTTTATATTGTTCAGATTAAATATTCTCATATATGCATACTATGAGGGGGATGGAGAGAACCAAGTAATCACAACAGGCTGTGTTTACATTGTCAATAATTTTAGGTAAGTCGACTAACTACATTTGTAACAGCATTTATAATGAAATTATTATGCTACGAATTGCTGGCAAGAATGACTTTTTTTACAATGGGAAATGCCAATATAATGTTTGAGAGAACTTTGTTTAATCATGATTCATGATCAATTCCTGGAGCTGTAATTTCACATTTTTACACATATGTGCTCCTGAAATAAATCTCGCATTGTACCTGGTGATAAAGGTTATGACATTCTTGACATTCTACCAGCTGATTACCCGGTGCCACATCTAACTGTCGACATAACACACAAGCCAGTCCCATCTCCATGGCAAAGTCATCAGCATCAGTGCTTTCACTTTGCTTATCATTACTGTCATCTGTACTGGTGTCATCAAATTCCTTGAGAAACAGTGACTCAGCTTTTTTCTTAGGAGCACTATCTTCTAGTTTAGGCTTCTTGGCTTCTCTAGTCAGATCAGTTATGTCTTGTTTAACCTGCAATTCAAGGAATCATATGAATATCATGTAAATGTTTTTTATGTAATTTAAAAACATATCACATACAAAAAAAGTTAAATTTGTAAATAAATATAACTGTATTTGACATTACACTTAATTTTAATAAATTCTAAATTCAATTTCTTAGTACAATTCTGTTGTCAAGAGATACATACATGTATAATGTACATACCCAGGTAATTAACCACAAATCAAAATTACAATGTAATTAAGCAATCCATGTTCAGAAATTACAAGTGTTTTGCTTACAAGTGTTCACACAAGTGTTCAGTTCACACAAGTGTTCAGTTCACACAAGTGTTCAGTTCACACAAGTGTTCAGTTTACAAGAGTGTTCAGTTTACAAGAGTGTTCAGTTCACAAGAGTGTTCAGTTCACAAGAGTGTTCAGTTCACAAAAAAGTTCAAAGTTGTTCAGAGTATGTGTACTCAAGTACATGAAGCTACTGCTCTCTGTAACATGTTTATATACCATTCATTAAAAGTACTGATGTTTATGAGTTCTACCTTTTCTACAGCTCTCTTCTCAGCTTCCTTCTTTTGTTCACTCATCTTCATGCTATGATCTTTTTTCAATATTGATCTTGGCTTGATATCAGAACTCTATTGGCAATAAAACGTATATATTTAATCAACTACATACAGGGCCTATTACATGTGTAATTATTCAGTAGTCACCCTTAATATAAAACACTGATTATGAAACTCTGCTTTAGCAGGACATCGCATGGTATTTGATGACCCACTCCAAAAACGCACATATGTCAGTCCTGCAGTTTTTGATAGCAATATTAAGTTTTAGAAACAGATTTCAATATATTGTTTAGTAAGTTTAGTTGGATATTAGATTGTTTTCAGCATAAAAAGATTATATTTTGCTGAACAGATGTGATCCTCAGGTATTTGGGGTTCAAAAAAAAAGCATGAAAAAAATAATTTTTCAGAATTACGTAAATAGTTCCAGTCTGCAGTGGCTGGATCATAAACCCAGAAGTTTTGTGGAGCAATAAAACACAATCTGGCATATGGCAACAAACGACATCTATATTTTTTCAAAATTAATTATTTCATAAGAACATGTGCATACTACTTGATGAAGCAAGTAAGTATACTACTGGAGTTTGTTCCATATACACACACACTATGGCTTTTTGAACATTGTGTTCACCAAGCATAGATATGATGGTCACTAATGTACAGAAAATTTGTATACAATTAGTTATTCTCTAGTGCGCCAATGACTTAACCAAAAAATGTACATTGATATATGTACGCACATTCATGTATAATATATTGATTGCGACCAAATATGGGAACTAAAATATAGCCATTATGGGGAGGACACACTATTATATTGAACCAAACTATGAAATTAATTTGTAAAGTAAAGTAATGTTTTGTAATACATGTATGAATAAAATCCTGAGTATAAATAATATATAATCGGGTAAAATAAAGTGCAGTGGTTTACAGGAACTGAAATGTAGCGAGTATGGGTACATGTACATATGTATGTCTGATTGAATGTATTTATATTTTCCACACAGAGGTCACTGAATCATGTCAAACTT